TCTAAAAAATTACGAAAGAGGGGATAAGTAGGAAGATCAGGTTCATCCTAGGGCAAAAAAACATCAACCTGGGAGACATCACGAGTATTTTTGCAGATCAACCCCCTCCCTCCCTCCCTCCCTCCCTCCTCCTCCTCCTCCTCCTCCTCCCCCTCCCCCTCCCCCTCCCCCTCCCCGTCACCTTTTGTGCAGCCCGGAAGCCGAAGAGTTTCAGCAGCCCCTGGATCAGCCCGAAGTAGCGCCAGTCGCTCGAGAGCATCTTCATCCAGGCCCTCCTAAGGTAGGACACGTTCTCCGTCCTCGACCTGCCCTGCTGCAAGAAGATGCCGACGACGAGGAGGGCCACGACCGTCTGGAGGAGGAGGAGGTTCCGCTCGTTGAAGGCTCGCAGCGCCTCGAGCTCCTTCAGCTGGTCCGACATCATCTGCGCCTGCTCCTCGAACTTCGCCTCCAGCAACGCCGAGTGATTCTCGAGGGTCTTGATCCGCTCCGTCAGGTTGGTGGCGATGGCGGTGAGCTCGCCTCGGACGTCCGACGTGGCAGACTGGAGGGTCTTGACGTCTGTCTGCATGTCCTCGAATGACTCGTCGTACTGCTTCTTCGTCTCCTCCATGTAAGACTGCAGGAACGAGTGGTTGATCTCCAGCATCTTGATCTTCTCCGGCACCTTGTGGAAGAAGGACAGCTCCCCGATACGGGACGGGGATGATATGAGCCCCATGGCTACCCTTCTCTGCTCATCCACAAGCCGCTTCCTCTGTTCATCTGCAAGTTTCTTCTCTCCCTCATTAGCCTGCCCCTCTCCTTGCTCCCCTGTCTTGTTGTGCGGCGTCGCATCCGATCCTTCACCATCGGAGGGAGAGGAGGCGTCTGCGAGCTCTCTTCCTCCGCCCATGGCATTGGAGAGATTCTGATCGCCCAACGTCTGGTTGGCATCGAGAGCGTCGCCCTCATTCAGCCCTGTCGAGTTCTTCCAGCTCCCCTCATCCTCCAACACCTCACACGACGAGTTTCTCCCTTCCCCCCCATCTTCTTGCTCTGACTCCCTCAGCTCTAACTTCGACTTCTCCCCAACCTCTGTCTCGACGCTCCCGTCACCTTGGCCAGCGTCTTCCTCACGAGGTTCCCCCGCAGTGTCTCCTCCCTCTGGGCCCTCCTGCACCCGCCGTGTGTTGGAAGAAGCTGACCGCAGTGGAAGCGAATGAGCAGGTGAAGCAGACTCGGCTTCTTTTTCGTCGGGCTCCGTCGCAGCGTCAGAGCAGTCAGAGCAACTGCCTTCCGAGGATGCGGCATGCTGAGACTGGTCACTCCCGCTCGCCTCCTCCCTGGTTCCTGTCGCTGTCATCGGCCCCTGCGCCTTCTCCGCCGAGACCTTCCCTGCCTCTTCTCCTCCTTCCACCTCCAACGGCCTGCCGTCTGCAACTTTGCCAGCCACTTGGCCGTCGCTCCCTTGTGGAGAATCTGCAGGTAAGAAATCGATCAAACACTTGGAGTCCACTGAGAGCGAAGGACTCACCCGCCACACCCTTGGCAGAGGCTTCCTGCCTGTTTCCCTTGCTGACGCTGTCAGTCTCGAAGGATGTCTTGGACGACGTGACATCTGCCGGGCCGCCACGTTCGGCATCAACATCTCCCGCTCTCCACTCCGCGTCTGCAGCCTCGACGCGAGTCCCATGGTGGACCGGGGAAGGGGTCGAGGCATCGCTAGAATCGACCAGCTGCTCCTGTTGTGCTTCGGCCGCAGCCTTTTCTGCTCCTTCCATCCGCCTAGTGCTCGAGCTCAGGTCGCGTTGCTGCTGCTCAGCCATACCAGGAGATTCAGCGTCAGCGCCTGGCACATTCGCTTCTTGTTTGTGGTCACGAGCTTGCGGGCTCTGTCGGGATGCCGAGCCCTCCTGCTCTCCCTCGTCTGACTTTCTCTTCACCAGACTGACGAACTTGGCAAAGATTGACGTTGTCTCAGACGCGTTCTCTTTCCCTTCTTCGTGAATGTCCGCAGTCCTGCCTGGGCTCGACTGGTTCGATTCAGATGCATTGAAGTGCTCCGTCACGTTGGAATCCTCGGGATCAGGAAGGTTTTCTCTCAACCCTGTTTGGTTTGACACCTCTTTCACTTGCTCTGACTCCATAGCAGCGGCTCCTTCACCCTGCGACTTCGACAGATCCTCCGAAGTGTTTCCTCCTCTGCCTGCTCCCTTGCCCTGAGCCTCAAAAACCCGCGAGGAGTTCCCTGCCACAGTTGAGTTGCTCCCTTTGCTCGCATTCCTTGCCACTGGAACTTTGGTGCTGACATTCTGCATCTTCGAGACACTCTCATTCTTGGACACGTTCAGGCTCTTGGAGACATTCACTGCTAGATCGTCCTTCTGGTCCTGACGCTCCTTGCCGGCATCCGCGGAATCTCCTCCCACCAGCGCTCTCTTCACGATGTCGACATGATGCTCGTTCTCGTCTAGCATCCTCCCCATCTCCTCCCACTGAGTCGTCCCATACACTTGGATGGAGCTCAGAGTGCAGTAGAACTCGTTGCCGTGGTGAGTCAGGACCCGGATCTTGAGGAACTTCGCCATCATCGGCGTCTTCACCACAAACTCTTGATACTGACGGCTCGGAAGCGCTTGGAAGTATCCCAGCAGGTTCCAGTGATCTGTCGGGTACACCAGCTGGGTCAGGACCTGGAAATCCTTCACTGTCGACGAGTAGAACTCGAAACTGCCCAGGACGATTTTGTTCACGTTAATGATCTCGTTCAACTCCACCACAACCCAGAGAGCTCCCTTCTCCACCTTGCAGGGGCTGATCCAGTACTTGTCACGGTCGTTCTTGAGCAGCGCAGATTCTCCTCTAGCCTCCTTGTTGGACGCCAGCGCCTTCCCGCCGAGGTCGAACGCGGCATGGTTGACGCCCAGCGACCGCAGCGTCTCACGGGAGATCTTGACGCCTCGCACGACATGACTGGCAAAGGTGCTGCTCGTGCTGCTGTTGACAGCTGCCGTCACATTGCTCGCTGCTGAGGTCGTCGTGTGGTTGGCCGCGTTCGCTGTCGATGCTTCATCCTTGTGCGCCCCTGCGGGCCCGTCTTGACTAGTCACACCGCTCGGACTGGGAGACGAACTAGAGTTGGTAGACACTGACGGGCCACTGTCGGCTTTCTTTCCCTCTGGAGCAGAAACGTCCCCTTGCACTTCGCTATGCGGGCTCGAAGCTCCCTTGGCCTCCGGTGCCTCATCTTTCCCCTCAGTCTTCGACTCCTCACCCAGGACTTGCTCCCCAAGTACCTGATAAACGGATCATGTCAAACGAACAACCTCCATGTTTCCAAGACGCACCATCTCTCGATATTTGTTGATGTCTTGGGGCACATTCCGACGAGTGCAATTCTTTCCCGCATATCCATCTTGACACAGACACTTCCCATCCGCTGGAAGACACGCTCCATGTCCTGAACATGGGTTCGCGACTCCACCCATGCATTCAATCGAGCAGTTGTAACCAGCCCAACCCCTGTGGCAACTGCACGTGCCATTTTCAAGGCAATCCCCTTGTCCAGCGCAGTTGTCCGGGCAAGGTTTCTTCCCCGGCCTGATCTGGAAGTTGGCGATGATCGCGACCTTCTGCGAGCAGTGTGAGCCTGTGTATCCTCCCGTGCAGTTGCACGTGCATGCTGGCAACGTGCAGACTCCGTGCCCGTTGCACGTGTGGAGAGTGCAGACGTCGGCACAGTCCCCCGAGGGCTGGATGCTCGAGATCATCTCAGGGAAGATCTCAGTATCAATGTCCATCGGCTCGTTCAGTTCAACACTCATCAACTCATCTTGCATCACCACCTGCGACATGTCAAGCAGTCCGCTTTCTGTCCTCGTCATGTCAATCTGCACAGCATGGGGGTCCCCAGCTGGGTTCACAATATGAACCTCGTTGGAGCTGTTTGCTTCGGCGATGATGTGCCCCTGTGCTGTCGGGTGAGCCTCTCCCCCCCCAGTCCCGTCGGAATCTGTTCCGTTCCCATCCTTCCCCAGGACCTCCTCTTCGCTGTCCTTGGAGTTCGGGGCAGCAAGTACGCTGGGGGAGACGAGGTTTACAAACTTCTCAAAGAACGACTTCCCTGAAGACGCATTTCCCTTCACTTCAGGCATTTCAGCCTTCTTGGATGTGTTGTCATGCGCCCAGTCCGTCCGGTTGAAGCCTTCCAAATCTTGGCTTTCAATGTATGGCGAGTGCTTCAGCCCCAACGTCTCGTTGTAGTCGTGTGGAGGTGCTGGCTCCACCGGCGATGCAGAAGATTGAACGTGCACGGCATTCACTTGCAAATCGAGCAGCAAGAGCAACACGTGAAGATGGAGCAGCCACCGCACGCGTCCTCTTGTCCTTGTCGTCATGGTAGCCTATGTATGCAAACCCAGCGGCTGTTCCTTCCTACATATCATGAACTGACGAGTTGTCGCTGACTGCACTCATGCCCTGTAGAGAGTTGGACCAGCTCAGTGGAGTGCACCGGGAATGGTTCTCTCAAGCTTATCATCTGCTCCCACAGGTTAGCTGTGGTACACGTGTAGAGACGAAGTCAAACAAAAAAACATCTGAAACCCACCGCAAGCTGGTCATTCCTCTATCACACTTGATGCGAGTCTGCATTCTATGAACTAAATCTATTGTTTTCATCGAATCATTGACTGCATTATCATATCCATCATCATGATCAATCATTGTCTCATTTCTCGGTTTTCACTTCACTTCGTCTCACTGGGCTTCTTCGTCTCATCACAATGATCATCTCTTTTGCACCACCATGCTACTTGACCGCCTCGTTCTCTGGAACCCTGCCATGCTCGAACACGCCTACTCCGTACATTTCCATAGCACCGGTGCCCTTTGCCAACTTATTGCAAATCTGTTCAATTTTTCAATCACTCTTTTCAAAATTTATGATTTACATGAAAATATTTCGAAATATTTGAATTTTTGAGATCTTCTTACCTAAAGTCTTGAAAATTTGTACCCTCAGTTGATATTTTCGCACGGCCACTGAAACGGTTTGTAACGGCGAGACTCATTTCCTAAACGACCAATCTTGACGTTACATTACCGTTATACAGCAAAGTGGCCTCGAGTCTTGAACCGTTGCTAGTCAGGCTCAGTGATAGGCCGCTAGCCCCTGAGGCCCACGGTCAGGCCTGGTCACCGGGTCACTTCGCTTACTTGGCTCAGTGCTGGGCCCTCCGAGTCATCAGAGCCCTGCGGCACCGCCGCTCCGCCGGGCCGGTGGTCGGAACACTGCCGCCTGCCGCCCGGGTGATCCCGGGGCGGCCGCTGAGCCTGGGCCTGGGCCGGGCCGGGGCCCGCAGCTCGCGCCCCGGCCTGCGCAGACTGGCTCAGGCCTTTACTCAAAGTTAAGTTAAAAATCAGTACGAGGACAATCAGGAGAGGCGAGGAGGCTTGACCCTGACACTGTCGGCGCACAGGCCAAACGGCGAGAAGAGAAAAGACAGCGAGAACCAAACCTATTCCTGCCGACTGCTGTCCCCCAAACTTAACTGATACCTTCGCTCAGGCCCGGCCTCCAGCCCGGGTTTTTTACTCGTACTGATTTTTAAGTCAACTTTGAGTAAAGGCCTTGACATACCGGCAGCAATGCGGATTCGGATGGTGGTGATGGCGCAGACACTGATGCTGACGAGGCGACCGACGACGATGAGCAGGGTGATGCATGCCGCTCGAACCCTCCCACTGGAACAGCAGGGCAAGAGTTTCTTCCTCGCGCACCATGCGAGCCATGCCGGCAGGTTCCGCCAATTCACTTGGGAGGGTAGAAAGGGAGGCTGGTCCCGAGTGGGGTTGATGGGAGCCGCAGGAGGGATGATAGGAGGACTCGTGCTGGACAGGCAGAGTCCCTCAGTCAGCATGAGCATGAGCATGAGAGGAGGAGGAGAAGAGGGATCAAGCAGCTCTCATCGGGTAGGAGCGGAGAACCTGCTGCCCGGCGGGATGATAACTAAGGAGCACTTCTTCCTCCTTCCATTGAGGCACGACCATAGCAACGGAGGGCAGCTGGAAGTTTTTGTGCGCGAGCTCGTGCTCTCCAAGAACAAGGACAGGGCAGACCTGCCCTCGTTGGTCTTCCTGCAGGGAGGCCCAGGCTTCCAAGCAGGTCGTCCGGTGACCGCAGAGTCGGGTTGGATGAAGAGGGCGCTAGAGGAGTACCGGGTCTTCCTTCTGGATCAGAGAGGGACTGGACGCTCCTCTCCTATTACCCACGAAACTTTGACCATGATGAAAGACCCTGGGGAGCAGGCGGAGTATGGTGAGTGCGGCTCGAGGAGGCTGAGGCAGGGGTGACAGCCGTATTGCAGTCTCACTGATGCGAGCGGACAACATAGTCAAGGACTGCGAGGAGATCCGCAAGGTTGACCCTCTGACAAGCTTGTCGCATGAGCGCCTCATGCTGCTGTGCAGATGCTGCTGGGGAGCGATACGAAGTGGACTGTGGTAAGACTTGTACTGCGTTGTGAATGAATTAGCTGGATGAGCTGAAGCAGGAGGAGGAGAGGAGGGGAGAATGGAGGGGGAAAGAGGAGAGAGGAGAAGAGGGCGAGAAGAGAAGAGGGAAGGGAGAGAGGAGGGAGTTGAGGCGAGGCAAAGGACTATATCATGACTTTGTTCGCATAGCTCGGACAATCCTTCGGCGGCTTCTGCGTATTGTCGTACCTTTCCCTCGCTCCCCAAGGGCTGAAGGAGGCGATCATCACCGGAGGCCTTGCACCGGCAGATCCGATCTTCTCCCCTGCTGCTGGACGTGATGGACTTGCAGGTGGACGATGGTTGCACTGCCGACGAAGTTTACAGGGCCACCTACGACAGGGTGGCTGCGAGGAGCGAGAAGTTCTATCTCAAGTACCCCCAGCACGTGGCGACCGTCCGGCAGATCGTTGAGCTCCTTGACAAGGAGCCGCAGAGGTTGCCGGGAGGAGGAGTCCTCACTGTGAGTTCATACGGGGGTGAAGGGGGAGGGGGAGGGAATTTGAGGAGGGAGGAGGTGGAGGCGGAAAGGAGGAGGGAGGAGAGGGATAGGTGAGGTTCCCGCAGGCGAGAAGGTTCCTCCAGCTCGGGCTCTGCCTGGGCAGTGGGAGCGGGTTTGAGCACATGCACTACCTGCTAGAAGACCCCTGGCTCCGCTCCTCCGACCCCTCAGCAGGAGGCAAGAGGTAGTGTGGGCGTCAGGTGGGGAGGAGCTCAGTGAGGAGGCAGGTTGAGCTACAGCTTCCTCAAGGCGGTGGAGGATGAGATGAGCTACGAAACGAATCCCCTCTACGCCATCGCCCACGAGACCATCTACTGCTCGGGCGTTGGAGCGGTAGGAAGCAACTCCTCCTACCCGTCCTCATCTTTGTATCTTTTCCTTTCCTGATGCTCTTGCTCAGTCCAAGTGGTCAGCCCAGCGGATCATGCAGGAGAGGAAAGACTTCGACTACAAGGAGAAGCTGCGGGATCCCAAGGGGAAGGTGAAACGAATATCCTGCCTTCTCCTCTCACCCCTCGCAAGATTTACTTCACTGCCGAGCACATTTTCGACTGGATGTACGACGACTACCTTCATCTGCAGGTCGAACCCTCCCACTTGACTGCATTCGGCGCTGAAACTCACGCAGGGTCTCAAGCCGGTTGCTGCTCTCCTTGCGAGCAAGCAGCACTGGACGAAGCTCTACGACAAAGAGAGGCTGAACGCTTGTCAAGTTCCGACCGCAGGTCGACAGGACATGAGGCTGGAGGGGAGGATCAGAGGTCGGGGATAGGAGGAGGGGGGTGAAAGCAGACGGTGAAAGATCTCGAAAGATTGTGGGAAGGGAGGGACAAGGAACCGCTAACAGTGCAGCAGCTGCGGTCTACTACGACGACATGTACGTCGAGAGGAGACTGTCCGAGCAGACGGCGCAGGAAATCGGTGAGGGACTGTACTTGTGACTCTTTTCGCCCTGACGATAAAGGAGGGTGTCTGCCGGGAGCGGTTCCCATCAAGACATGGATCACCAACGAGTATCAGCACAGCGCCATCCGTGACGACGGCTACAGAGTGCTGGATGTTCTGCTGGGGATGCTGAGAGGTGAATGTGCTCGAGCTCTTTCACTTGTTCTCATCACATGTTCCCAGGCAGCAAGCAGATCCCTTCCTAGACCCCAGCAGCACCACACCTCCCTTACGAGGCCTGTGAAGCTCCCATAACCGCTGGAGGCGTTGTCACTTCTTCCTGCTTCGTCTTCATCAACACCGTCGCGTCCTCCAGGGCCTGCCCGCCCTGAGCATCAATCAGCGACTTGTCTGCAGCTCTGCCTCGAGCAGGAACTACCTTCACCCATGCGCAGTAAACGCCCCATGCCCACAGGCCCTGGGGTGTGACGTCATCGATTGTGTGCGATCCTCCTCCTATCTCACCAGAGCGAAGTTTCCGAACGAGACTAGTCCGATGGAGAAGAACTGCAAGGAGTCATTGCTCCGCACCTCAGTCACAGTCTCAGGTACCCCGAAGGAGAAGATCCCGACTGAAAAGACTCCGACGCTGACCTGTGAGACTTCAGAGGAGGAGGAGCCCGTTTGATGCTCTCACTGTTCCGATGGAGAAGATGCCAACGGAGATCAGCCCGATGCTCGCTGCTGACCCGCAGCTGCCAAGTTGGGGAGTGAGCAGAGAGGCTGAGCAACGAGATGCCGAGAGGCTCATGGGGAGGATCAGAGGCTGCCTCGTCTTCACCTGATCACTCCAGCAGACACCGAGCCCGTTGAAAAGTAGGCGGAGGATGCCGACCCGGACTTGGCAAGCCAGGGCCTAGTGGAAAGAGCGCCGCCACCTGCATTGCCAGCCCTCATTGCTTGCTCCCTCCCTTCACCCCACCCCTGGTCCGCGTACCTGCGATGATCAGGATGGTCGCCACTACCGTGACCCCCACGGCAACCCGGAAGGGAAGTGAGTTCTTGTGTATCAAGAGGGAGTCATGGATCTGCCAACGGTCCTGTCAGGAGCAGCATACAAGCCCCAGGTACGAGGGCAGAGCTCACCTTCCCCGACCATCTGCTCTTCGATGGCTGCTTGTCGTCCTTGGGATCCTTGTGGTCCTGGACGTTGATTTTCCTTGGAGCAGAAAGTCATTCGCCATCTGTCAGAGTACAGATGCACTCCCTTACAATTCATCCTGTGCCTTCACCTCCTGCCCAGATTCGACTGCAAGCAACAAAGGGAATCAATGCACAGCATCACTCCATTGGATACCTGATCATCACCTTTGCTTTCCTTGACAGCCTCCTCCCAGCCAGATGCCGTGCTGCCTTCGTCGTTCAGACTTTCCTTTTGCATTTCCTGCTTTCCAGCATTGGTGTCTTTCTCTGAGACTCGCTCCGATAGCTGATCATCTTCAGTCGCCAGCATTTCCGACTGAGAGTTTTCCGTCTCTACAGCGTTCGCTGAACAAGTAAACAACCTCAGGCCAGCAACACACGACACACTCGGACTTGTTACCTTGGGGCGCCTCCATGCTCTACTGCACAATCAGGTTTCTTTCCTGGAATGCAACATATCAAGTTTGATAGCGCAGTAATACTGAGAGAGAGAGAGAGAGAGAGAGAGAGAGAGAGAGAGAGAGAGAGAGAGAGAGAGAGAGAGAGAGAGAGCTATCCTCTTCCACTTAAACCACCAGCACATACAAATCATCACTCCATGGAACTACATCCTAAGACATGTTTTGCTTTTGCTCTGATCTTGACTCCAGGCAAAATGAGGGAAGGCGTTACGTGTTCTCGAGTTGTTCCAACCCTTTGGGCCCTGGCCTGCTCATAGTACTACTACTTATCCATTTCGTCTTTATCATACATCTCCGAAATACGGAGAATCTCACGTTTGCTGCCCCATTCGGACAGAATGTGGTTCATGTCGAACATGGTTCAAACTTCGCCCTCGTCCTTATTGTTGCCCAGATCTATCGTTGTCCTTGTCCTTGCCCTGGACCTCGTCCTCGTCCTCTCCTCGTCTCTTTCATCTCCCACTCCACTTCGCCTTCCTGCTTCTTGTCATGTCGCTCCCTCTCCCTGCCATTCTACCGTTCCCGCCATCAATCAAGCCTGTTGTACTGACTACCCCTCATCATAAAATCTACTACCCCTTCATTTACAGGGAAAAGGACCCCAGGTGATTACGGCCCCCACCTACCCCTGCCATTTTTCTAACCCTGGAAAACTCAGTCAAAGTACCCCCTCCTGTTTCAAAGCTCTTGTCTTTGTGCTGACCCGCCTCAGACTTGTTCCTCCGGGGCCCTCGTCAGTCTCTCAGTGTCACTGCCCGGGAGGGCCCGGCGGGCCCGGCCGTTTCGTTCCGTTGAGTTTGTAGCTTTGAGAGTCACCAAACTACCGGGTACCACCCGTGGCGGAAGATATGTAACCAAGAATGATGTGGGGTGGGTAGTGAAATGTACCCCAATCTATCTCACCAGGGGAAAAGAAGATTGTAGGTAGGGTGATGACCACTACCCTGTCTCGATCATCATGCCCTGACCACCCCTACCCCCCGGTTGGAACCGTGTGGTCAGCGGCCCCCTCCATTCCAAGAGCCCCTTGTGGAAATGTTTTTGAGCACGATATCAGGTCTATTGACAGTCCTATACCCACATTTAAACAGTATAAAGTAGGGGTGTGTAAAATAAATCGTTTTTCGAACAGGGTTATGAAATTGCATGGTGGGATCCGCAAAATCGGGGGGTGGATGGTAAATCAGGACGGGTGGTAGGGGCTGACATGGGGTGGGATCAGAATCTTTGGGGTGGGGTACAATTGTAGGTGGGGTACAAAGATCAACTCTTTTGGAGTAATACTACCTACCCTTTGTCACTGTATTTGGTGGTTGTTTGCGTGGTGGGGTGATCGATCATTTTCAAGTGAATTGTAGGGGTAGGGTTCTTAGAAAGGGGGTGGGGTGATAGTCGAAGTAGGGGTCCTGTGCGTCATAAAAACTCAAAGAAGATCCGTCTAAAATCTTGGTAGGTATGTAGGTCAAGTGAATGCGGTAGGGGGTGGGTGGAGAATATTCCTAGTACAAACGCTAAAATCGGGTATGATACAGTATCATGAAAAATTACTTATGGATATAATTGGAAAATTGATGATGTAGAGCTCATTATTTCTGAAAAGTTTTAGATACTACAGTAAGTAAACTATTACAGTAGTTGATGCGTTATGAAGAGGGAGTAAAGTCTGGATCTGAAGGTGGTGGAGGACCCCACAGGGAACAATTCTCTTCTCTCATAAGGCAGGAGAGGCGAACAGCGCGTTCCATGCCGGAGGGAGTGTGAAAGTCAAGCAAACACTCTCTCCGCGACATGCCCGGCTACTCGATCCTTCCCCTCCTTCTCCTATCCCTCACTCTCTCCCCTCTAATCCATGCCTTCGGCCCCCAGGCTCCTGTTGTTCACACGACCCTTGGGAAGTCGGCTGTAGCAATCCACAAACCTCGTGAGTGGAGCTTTGCTGCAGCTGCCAGGGTGCTTGTGCGAGGTTTCCAGACTTCACGTGGAGCCTCGAGAGATGGAGTTACATCTCTTGCCATGTTGAAGTACCCTGACGCCATCGGGAAGCAAGTTCCTGGAAGTTTCGCAGAGGGCAAAGACTACCTACGTGACGGTCGCAACCTTGGTACTGGTGACCTGGTCCTCATCCAGAGATCCGATGGCAGGTGACTGCTTCCTCCGCCCTCCTCATGCTTCCTCCTTCCTCCTCCTTCCTCCTCCCTCCTCCTTCCTCCTCCCTCCTCCTTCGTCCTCCCTCCTCCTTCGTCCTCTTGTCCTGACTGTTTGTTACAGCACCCGCTTCGGTGAGATTGTGGGAAAGAGCGGGTTGCCATGGCAAAACGCCTTCGAGGTGTGTGTAGAGCTCGACGGCTCCGGCAGTGCTGGTGCCTCGAGGGCCGAGGAGGGCATCAACCTAGGAAAGGTCACCCCACAAGGTCTCTCTTCCCTCGGACTTGCCTCAGCTCCCGTGGCTGTGGGCAGAGGGAACGTCCCACCACCTCCCAGACCTTCACCGAAGGCAGCAGCACCCCCAAGGGCAGCAGCAGCGCCAAGAGCAGCAGCACCTGCTGCCCCAGTACCCCCTCGACCTCTCTCCACCCAGCGAGTGGGAGTGGTGAGTAATTCCTGGAGCATGGCTCGCTTGCTGTGGACTTCGATGCGTGACTGCTGGCTGAAAAGTTGCTGACACCATTTTCGTCAGGTCCCAAAGAAAGACACTTCCTCCTCCGTCTCGTCCCTTCGGTTCCCCGACAAGATCGGCAAGGTCATCCCTCAGAAGTGGGTTGAGGGACAAGACTTTGCTCCTGGAGGCAACTTCCGCAACGGGGACCTCGTTGTTATCAGACGCTCCGACGGATCCCTTCGTTTTGGAGAGATCATCCAGTCCACCGGCCTCCCATGGCAGAACGCGTACGAGGTGCTTCTGAATGTGTGTGAGCCAGAGACAGTCGCTGAAAGTTAGAGCAGGTGTGTGTCACCGTCGACAACAAGGGATCCCCTGACTCATCTAGGGCTGAAGAAGCCTCTTCTATCTACGGCATCAACGCTGCCACGCTTGCCGCTGTCCTTCCCAGCGCTCCTCTTGTTCAGGGAACGCAAAGATTCTCCATCTTCGGGAAAGGATCCGCAAGCCCAGACGCCACCAATGACAGAGCACGACAGCAGGCCGAGGCTGCCGCTGAGCGCAAGCGCCAACAGGAAGAAGCCGCCGCCAAGCGCAAGGCTGAGCTTGAGGAGCGTAAGCGTCAGCAGGCTGAAGCCGCCGCTGCCCGCCAGGCCGAGCAAGAGCGACGCCGGGCAGAGGCAGAGGCCCAACGCAAGGCAGCCGAGGAGGAGCGCAAGCGCCGCCAAGAGGAACAGGCTGCTGCTCGCCTCGCCGCCCAGCAGGCTCGTCAGGGATCTGCGGGACGCCAGGGCTCAGCCCCAGGTCTTCTTGGACGTGTGGGATCAGGAGGAGCTCCGGCGAGCCAGCCTCCTCCTCCTGCAAAGCCTGCGGCACCGGCCGGTGGGCTGTTCGGCAGGATCGGATCCGGCGGATCTCCCCAGGCCAACAACGCGGCTGAGGAGCGCAGGAAGCAACAAGAGGAAGCAGCTGCCCGTCGTCAGGCCGAGCTTGAGGAGCGGAAGCGTCAGCAGGCTGAGGCTGCCGCTGAGCGCAAGCGCCAGCAGGAAGAAGCCGCCGCCAAGCGCAAGGCTGAGCTTGAGGAGCGTAAGCGTCAGCAGGCTGAAGCCGCCGCTGCCCGCCAGGCCGAGCAAGAGAGACGCCGGGCAGAGGCTGAGGCCCAACGCAAGGCAGCCGAGGAAGAGCGCAAGCGCCGCCAAGAGGAACAGGCTGCTGCTCGCCTCGCTGCCCAGCAGGCTCGTCAGGGATCTGCGGGACGCCAGGGCTCAGCCCCAGGTCTTCTTGGACGCGTGGGATCGGGAGGAGCTCCAGCGAGCCAGCCTCCTCCTCCTGCAAAGCCTGCGGCACCGGCCGGTGGGCTGTTCGGCAGGATCGGATCCGGCGGATCTCCCCAGGCCAACAACGCGGCTGAGGAGCGCAGGAAGCAACAAGAGGAAGCAGCTGCCCGTCGTCAGGCCGAGCTTGAGGAGCGGAAGCGTCAGCAGGCTGAGGCTGCCGCTGAGCGCAAGCGCCAGCAGGAAGAAGCCGCCGCCAAGCGCAATGCTGAGCTTGAGGAGCGTAAGCGTCAGCAGGCTGAAGCCGCCGCTGCCCGCCAGGCCGAGCAAGAGCGACGCCGGGCAGAGGCAGAGGCCCAACGCAAGGCAGCCGAGGAGGAGCGCAAGCGCCGCCAAGAGGAACAGGCTGCTGCTCGCCTCGCCGCCCAGCAGGCTCGTCAGGGATCTGCGGGACGCCAGGGCTCAGCCCCAGGTCTTCTTGGACGTGTGGGATCAGGAGGAGCTCCGGCGAGCCAGCCTCCTCCTCCTGCAAAGCCTGCGGCACCAGTAGCTGGACGAGGAGCATCCCGCAGAGTTGCCTATGCCGATAGGATTGACACGCCAGTCCCACCCCAGTGGCAGCCCGGCGTTGACTTCAGCAGCGGCGCGTCGATCTCCGTCGGCGACCTCGTGGCAGTCCGACGCTCCGATGGGAGCACACGATTCGCTCAGGTAGGATTGGGAGGGAAGGACATGGAGGGGGAGGGGGAGGGGGAGGGTTAATGGGTTGGGGCAACGTTTGAAGTCTGATTGCTTCTTCAGGTGATTGGACGGGCTGGACTCCCCTGGCAAAACGCTTGGGAAGTTTGCGTGACAGTCGGAGCTGATGGCGAGCCCCAGGCTTCCAGTATGTTCTTTCCCTCCATATGCTCCTTCATCCTCTGCCGCCGCCTCCACCACCACTGCCACTACCACTAATATCATTTTCTTTCGTTCTGTCCCCTCCCCGCCCCACCTCATCAGGCACAGTCTTGCTTGGTATGTACTGAAATGCTTCCGCCTGCAGGAACGGAGGACGGAGCTACGCTCCTCAAGCCAACCCCGCAGGCCCTTCAGGGCTTGGGAGTGGGCGGACAACCTGCGCAGCGGGCAGGAAGCATGGGAGTCCCCGAGAGGAAGGAACCTGTCCCCATGCAGACCGGAACTCAGCGCATCTCATTCGCCGGTCTATTCGGAGGAAAGCCGGCTACTACCCCACCTGCTGCTGCCCCACCTGCGCCAGCTGCTCCTTCTGCAGCACAGGATGCTGCTGCCGCTCGCGCTGCCGCGCTCAGAGAAGCACAGGCTGCGAAGCAGCGGGTGAGAGCAACGGGACATGAAGTTGCGTCGACTTACAAGACTGCAGGAGCTTGAGGAGCGCAGGAAGGCGGCCGAAGAGGCACGAGCGGCTAAGCAAGCTGAGTTCGAGGCCAGGAAGCGCCAGCAGGAGCAGGAGAAAGCTGAAAGAGCCGCTGCCCTCGAGGCCAAGCGCAGGGAGCAAGAGGAACAACGTGCTCGCGCTGCAGCTGAGGCCGAGGCGAAGAGAAGGGCACAGCAGGAGGTAGCAGGAGGAGGAGAGTCCTCCCGGTACCCTGATGAATCCTCGCAGGAACAGGAGAGGAAGCGAGCAGAGGCAGCAGCAGCTCGTGCTACTCCTCCACCTTCCCTCCGCCAGCCATCTGCTGCTCCCCAGCCTCCCGCGGTGACGTCTACCTCACTCCGCTTCCCTCCTCACTCTCGTCTCAGGCGCCTTCTGCTCCTGCCGGAGGCTTCTTCGGGGGTCTTTTCGGAGGATCAGCACCCAGCGCACCTCCTGTAGGATGATTCCAACATTCTCTCCTCGTATGACTCGCTTGCTCCAGGCCAAGGCCCCCGTTCCTCCTCCCCCCAAGGCGGCGGTTCCTCCTCCCCCCAAGGCAGCGGTTCCCCCTCCTCGTGCTGTTCCCCCCAAGGCAGCAGCTCCTCCTCCGGCGGCTGCTCCCAAGCCAGTGATTCCTCCCCTCAAGAGGGACGTTGCATCCACGAGCACCGACACTGAGAGCAAGGGATTCTTTGCCTCCCTCTTCGGCGGCAAGGCTCCTCAGGCTCCTCCTCCCAAGGCGGCAGTACCCCCTCCCAAGGCGGCAGTACCCCCTCCCAAGGCGGCAGTACCCCCTCCCAAGGCGGCAGTACCTCCTCCTCCCAAGGCGGCAGTACCCCCTCCTCCCAAGGCGGCAGTACCCCCTCCTCGCTCTGCTGAGGTCTGTGTCTTGGCTCTCCTCCTCCCTCGCCTTCCTCTCGTTCTGATCTGACAGTCTGGCAGGCTCCTCCTCCCATGCAGGTCCTCGGCACTCAGAGGGCCGTCCCGTCCCCTGTCAACACCATCGGCTCCGGGCCCGTCCCCCTCACTTCCGCGCAGACCCTCAAGTGGGCTGATCTGGTCGACACGAGGGTGCCGGACACCTGGGTCGAGACCAAGCAGTACGACAGGCAGGGCAAAGTGCAGGAGGGCGACCTGGTCATGGTGAGCCGCTCCGACGGCTCCACCAGGTTTGCGCAGGTGCTCAAGAAGGCCGGGTTCTTCTTCCAGGACGCCTGGGAGGTCGTCGTGACCGTCAACCCCGACGGAACCGCCGCGGCCACCCGAGTGGAGGAAGGGAACATGCTCGGACGTCCTCGTCCCGACGCCCTCGCTGCCATCGGAGCTCAGCCTTCTCCTGTCAAGGAGGTCAAGGTTGCGGCTCAAAAGCGCGCTGGATCTTCCCAGGGGGGCCTCTTCGGCATCGGCGCTGGCACAGTCTTCGAGGAAGACGCCGACAGTCAGGCCCGAGTTCCTCCTCCTCCCCCGGCACAGAGTGAGACGCTGGGCTCTCTCACATTCTCCTGCTAACTGTTGCCCTAGTTCCCAAGGCTGTGCCTCCTCAGATGCCTCCAAAGGCTGTACCACCACCACCTTTGGCCAAGGTTCGACCTCCTCCTCCTCCTCCTCCTCCTCCTCCTCCTCCTGGTTGACCATCTTCTCTCCAGGCGGCTCCTCCTCCCCCCAAGGCGGCTCCTCCTCCCCCCAAGGCGGCTCCTCCTCCCCCCAAGGCAGCTTCTCTTCCTCCTCCTCCCAAGGCAGAGGAAGCAAAACCTTCCAACCCCTTCGGTGGTCTGCTCAGTTTCTTGGAGCCAAGCTCTCCTCCAGCTCCTCAGGCGCCTCCCAAGGCTGTTCCTCCCCCTGCTCCCAAGCCACCAGCTCCAGCAGCACCACCAGCCACTCCACCACCTCCTCCAGCTGCGCCAGTCGCTAAGGCTCAGGTAGCGATGTCTACCCCCTATGAACGAGTGATCACGTGGACCTTCAGGCACCCCCAGCAGCTCCTCCAGCAGCACCCCCAGCAGCTCCTCCAGCTCCATCCCAGCCCACGGGACCCAAAGAGGAGTCCAGCAACCCGTTTGCTGGTTTCTTGAGCTTTTTGGAGCCCAAGGATGTTAGCCCACCGGCTCCCAAGCCTCCAGCGCCTCCTGCTGCTCCCCCTGCTGCTGCCCCCCCTGCTCCCCCTGCTCCTAGCAAGGCAGCACAGCCTGCCGTGCAACCTCCACCACCACCGGCAGCTCCTCCAGCTCCTGCAGCTGAGGTTAAGGTGAGCAAGAGGCAGAGGAAGAGGAAGAGGAAGAGGAAGAGTCTGAAGCAGTTCTCAGGCTCCTCCCCCCGCTAAGATACCTTCGGACGAGGACAAGCCCATCGTCAAGATGCCCAAGGAGCAGCCCCCAAGTGCTGTGGAGGAGGCGCAGGCGTCCATCTCCAACTTGTTCTCGGGCTTCAGCTCGAAGCTGAAGGAAATGGTGGAAGACGTTCAGGGAGAGGCGAAGCAGGCGGTTCCTCCTCCTGCCAAGAAGCCGGAGGAGATTAAGACCCCTCCTCCTGCACCTGCTGCCCCTCCGGCTCCTCCTGCTGCAGAGGTCAGTGTGCGTGTGAGCTGAGGCTCCTTGTTTCTTCTGTCCCGTGTTGCTCTCCTGCCCCATCCCCATGTCCTCTCCGTCCTCCTCTTACTGTACCGCAGGCTCCCTCTGCCGTCAAGAGCGAGCCGAAACAGGAGGAGGTAGATCCCTGCCTGTAGCGCTTCCCCTCTGACTGTTCCTTAGGTTCCTCCTCCTCCTCCTCCTAAGCCAGCTTCTCCTCCTCCTGCCGCTGTGAAGGCACCCGAGGTGCTCTATTCTTGCTCAGCGGGTCTCCTCTCTTAGCTTGTTGGTCGCTCAGACGCCTCCTCCTCCTCCTCCTCCTCCAACGCCAGCAGAGGCGAAGAAGCCCGAGGTCAATCTTGACGACTCTCTTTGCCCTATCGCTGAAAGTTTCTTCCTCACAGGAGCCGGTCAAGGCAGAGGTGCCTGCTCTTTCCCTCCTCCCCTCCTCCCTCCCGTTCCTGACGTGACAGCAGCAGAAGCCTCCCGCTCCTCCTTCCCCTCCCCCACAGAAGAAGCCCGAGACTCCCAAGGTGACGGCTCGGCGACCTGCTCCCTGCTGTTAAGCGAGTGCGACAGGTCGAGGAGAGCAAGCAAGCTCCTCAGCTTGACCTTCCCTTCGGGTAGGGGAAGAAGAGGGGGAGGGGAATTGTGACCGAGTTGTGCAGGGGCCTGGGTGGAGGACTGTTCTCCAAGCTGCAAAAGCTGGTAGAGCCAGTTGACGTGGGAGGGTCGGACAACGACAAGAAGTCAGTGGAAAAGAGCAAAGCTCCTGTTAAGGTTACTTCTTCTCCTAGCCCTCTACACTCCTCCTCCTCCTCCTCCTCCTCCTCCTCCTCCTCCTCCTCCTCCTCCTTCTCACATCCTATTCGCAGGAAAATGCTATCTACGAGGACGACGACATCAACGCTCCTCCCGCTCCCAAGCAGCCCAAGCAGCCCTTCCGAGTGAGAACTCCCCCCTCCCCTCTTCCCCTTCATCTCGCTGACCTCACTGGTAGCTCGAGATCCAAGAGCAGAAGGCGAAGACTGTGGAGGAGGAAGTGAAGCCTAAGGAGGAAGTGAAGGCCAAGGAGGAAGTGAAGCCTAAGGAGGAAGTGAAGCCTAAGGAAGAAGTGAAGCCCAAGGAGGAGAAGGCGGGAGGACAGGACGTGCCCATCGCTAAGCTCAGGGCCCTTGAGGCCAACAAGGAGCAGTGGGGCATCGGGAGTGACGAGGACAAGGACGAGGTTAGTTCTCTGCAACTCTGATGTTCGGTCGTCTCACCCTGCAGCAGAAACCCTCGGCCTAAGGCTCCTCCCTCACCTCCTGAACTTCAGTGACTTGAATGAACTTGCGTGACCCTCGTCTCAAGTCTTCACTGATCTCCATCGCAAACTCAAGTCACCTGGCAGTGACCAACCTTGCTGAGTTGGGCAGCGGCCATCAACAGCCAGAGTGTTCAGAGGGCCCTCGTACCTGCTAGTAACCCGTTGAACGGTCCGGTTGCCTTCGAGTCGACTGAGTGCCGGCCGGGCAGTGCCATGTCCATGACTGACACTGACAGCCTGTCCACGCCACGGGCCCACCTCAGCTTCAACGGTTCAACGGTTGTCGGAGATCAGCCCCGCGTGTCACGGTCGCAAGTCCCGAGGTTGCCGTGCAGCCTGGGAGTCACGAAGCTCATTTTATCAGTTATCTGATGGTAACTAAACTTGTCGGTACGGGGGAGAACCATCAGCGACGTCAAACGACTTCTCAGGCCCCACTCGGGGTGCGAGTGACTTTGACTTATCCGACATGTGTAAGGGTTCCTTGATACGCCTGTCAGCAAGTCACAAGGCCCCGGGGGGCGATTCATGAAAATGAGTCTTTTGAAGGGTGTCCATGGTCTCTGAGTCACGTACACAGGCGTAAAAGTGTTTTGCTCCTAGCTACTACCCCCTGCTACAAGGGGATTTGTACCCCTCCATGATAAATCCAACCATTAGCGCGAACTTTTCTTACTGACGACCTCACCCACTACCAACCCTACCAACACAAAAGATGACCCCTTCTTCTCCCTGACAAAGCCCCGGTAATCCACCCCCTCCTCCAAGACCCCAAATCAGTGACAACCGGTTCGTCGTCTTCTCCTAGTTCCCCGACTCGTTTATATCTCCGCCCCCACCTCCCGTCCCTTACCGCAACTCCCCCCTACCTCATACCTCCTCCCCTGCACCTCTCTTGTTGAACCACTCTCCTTTCACGCTCCTCCCTCCTCCCTTTCGCCTCCTATCTCATACCTCCTTCGGCCTGCATCCCGTCTGTTTAATCCCGTCAACCTCGTTTCATCTTTTTCTCTTCTTCATCGTCCGTCTTCCGTCCCTTCCTGTACGTTTCTTGGAGAGTCATCATCCTTTCTCTCCCATCCATCTACAGTTTCCCTGGCCTCGACGAGCCTCGGCTCGAGCGGTCGTCAGCTCTCTTCCATTCTCGGCTATTGCGACATGAATTCCACCACATACTGGTACACAATCCCGCGCACCGCAAACAGCCCTAGTGTCCCTTGTATGCTTCGTCTGCGTCTCTTCTTAGCCATCGCCCTCCTTGCGAGTGTGATGCGACTGGTGGGAGATGCGTTGAGCTGGCTGCTGGTCGACGAGGAGGAGATCGAACGTCTGAGCATCCGGGGAGAAGAGCCGGGAGAGAGGCAGGCGTTGCTTGCAGGCAAAGTTGTGCTGCTGGAGGGAGAGTTCGACAAGAGAAAGATGCTGCTGCCCCACTTCTCAAATCGTTTCAAGGCAATCCGGGTCGGGGTGAAGTGATGGTGATGTAGACAGGAATGTTGATTGTACCATGAACATGTGATCGTTTGTTTTGAAAATAATGAAAGAGTTTGAGACAAACACTGATCTCACAAATGATCAAGTTGCTCTGCTCAAGTGCCGCGCTAGTCCCTGCCAAGCTTCTGCGCTCGCCAAAGGAGCTCTGATGGTCATACGGTTACCGATGTCCTACTTGTTTACACCTTTACGAGTCTTCGCTTGGGACGGCAACACTGAAGCCTGACGAGCGTAGAAGACCTGCGGTACCACCTTATGCGATCAAGACAAGTGATAGGTGATGTCCTTCAAACACGCTCATGATCAAGACAAGTGATAGGTGATGTCCTTCAAACACGCTCATGATCAAGACAAGTGATAGGTGATGTCCTTCAAACACGCTCATGATCAAGACAAGTGATAGGTGATGTCCTTCAAAACGCTCATAACAGCAGGTACGTGAACATCTTCCTCAAAGTGATCAACCTCCTGGGAGCTCTGGAAGCATTTGTGTTTTAAGTCCGAGTTCGCCTCACACAATAACTAGTATGAAGGAAAAGACATTAAAATGGTACAAATCATATAGCTTGTACTTTATTTGCTGTCCCTGTTCATCTCTGAGGCAGCGCTTTCAGTTGGTGCCATGCAGGATCTCACGATCGAGGGCACGAGGGTCCTCAAGTTCGACGGGAAGACGGTGAGGGAGGACGAGGACGAGGACGAGGACGAGGACGAGGACGAGGATGAGGACGAGGACGAGGTAGTAGGTAGAAGAGGCACAGGCCAGTGAGAGGATATGAAGAGAGATGATGAGAGGAGAGGAGGAGGAGGAGGAGGAGGAGGGGCAAGGCGACTTGCATGTGACACGTGCGGGCTAGACGTTCGTGAGGATCGGAGATGAGGAGGACCTTCAGATGGAGGGCTGCATCACACTCGAAGCCTGGATCTGCCAGGAGAGGATGGAGCCAGCGAGCCTGCTAGATGCTCACAGAAACATCATCGCGCACGGAGGAGACAGGAATGCTGAGGTGAGAGATGGGGAGAGATGGTGAGAGATGGGAGAGGTAGAGGAATGAAGGGGGTCCTGGGAAGGAGGAGAAGGGGAAGGAGGACGAGGATACCGAGGACAAGGAGGACAAGGAGGGTATGAGGAATGGGAGGAGGAGAGTGAGCGCGAGTGCTGCAGGTCTTCCTCCGCTTCAACTGCTACAGCAGGCAGTATGAGGTTGGCTGCTGGGATGGTGCGACGGACAGAACCTTCATGGCGTCTGCTCCCGCCCTCCTGCAGACATCGGCTGCTGGACTCACATTGCTGGAGGGTATGATGGCCAATACTGGCGCCTCTACAGGTCCTCCCTCCTCCCTCCTCCCTCCTCCCTCCTCCCTCCTCCCTCCTCCCTCCTCCCTCCTCCCTCCTCCCTCCTCCATCCTCCCTCCCCTTCTCCGTCTGCCTTCGTCCAGCTGAGAGCGGAGGAGCAGGAACGGAGCTCTCATATCAAGCATCCCATCACCTTGTGGGGCTAAGCGAGTGAGGAGCGAGTGGGCGATCGGAGCCAAGGGAGGAGGAGGAGAAAGATTCTTCCAAGGTCACTACAACCTCTCCATCCCTCCTCGCCCTCTCGTCCTTCTGCAACTCCCCCCATCCTCCGCTCCCCTACTCTCTCACTCTCTCCTTTCTCCCCTTCCTCCCTCCCTCTCTCATTCCATCTCCCTCCCTCCCTCCCTCTTCTTGTCTTCTTGTCCTCTGATCGTCTCAAAGGGATCATTGCTCATGTTTCTGTGTGGAACATTCATCGGACTGAGGAAGAGGTTTCTTCTCTCCTGCCTCTACTACTACTCCTCCTCCTCCTCCTCCTTTTCCTCTCTCCTGTCCCCTTCTTTCTTTCTTTCCTCCTTCTCTCTCCCCTCGACCTCCTCCTCCTCCTCCTCCTCCTCCTCCTCTCTCCTGTCCCCTTTCCTCCTTCTCTCTCCCCTCCCATTCCTCATCCTCCTCCTCCTTCTCCCCTCTTCTTCGCCAATGATCGTCCACCTTCCCTTTCATCTCCAAACTCTTCCGCCCTCCTCTTGCTGCTGCTCCCTCTTGCTGCTGCTCCCTCCCTCTCGATCACCTCGCTGCAGCTACAGCAGACCATGCAGCGATCTCCGAGCTCGCAAGCTCCAGGCCTCGTCAGGTAGGAGCAGCACACGATCCGAGCATTTCTTCTCCTCTGCTTCCTCCCTCACGACTAGGGCAGACACTGGCCGATGGATGATGGAGGAGGGAGAACGATCAGGGAAGAAGTGCAAGATCGAGAGGGAAGAGCGGAGGTAAGGTGGAGAGTAAGACGAGGACGAGGACGAGGACGAGGACGAGGACGAGGACGAGGACGAGGACGAGGACGAGGACGAGGACGAGGGCGAGGGCGAGGACGAGGGCGAGGACGAGGGCGAGGACGAGGATGAGGGCGGTTGACAAGGAAGCAGGGGGAGTGCAAGTGGTTGGGGGTTTCGAGCATTCGGTGCCTTGGAGGAGTGGACAGTCACTGCCTGTACACGCGCCTGGGACTGCAGCAGGTCCATGGATGACGAGCATGCGAGGCGTCTGACAGTGAGAGCAGGGAGCTTCGGAGGGGGAGATCAAGCAAGCGTACAAGTAGGGGAGAGAGGGGGAGGAGAGGGAAGGGGGGGGCAATGGGGAGAGATGAGGAGGAGGAGGAGGAGGGGCTAGGGGAAGTTGACAGTGGGGTATGAGGACAAGGGGATTTGACTTGTTTTTTCCCTTAGAGCCGCGGCTCTCAAGTTTCATCCTGATAGAAATCCAGGGGAAGAGAACGAGGAGGTCCGAAATCCTCAAGTCAACTAATTGCTACCTTGTTGTTTCCCTCCTTCCCTCCTCTTCCTCCTCCTCCTCCTCCTCCTCCTCCTCCTCCTCCTCCTCCTCTCTCCTTCCGCTCTTCCATCCTCTTCCCTTCTTTCTGTTCAATCCTCCTCCTCCCGTCATCTCTTCTCTCTTCCTCCTCCCCCTCTAATTCAACTTTCAGGCTTTCAAGAAGGTTCAAGAAGCATACGACAC